TTACAGTAACTGAGGTGTTTTTTGGCTGATATTGTAAATAATGTTAAAAAATTAAACAGCTCTCTAAATTTTAATTATCAAAATACTAGGCAAAATCTTAAGTATATCTTTGATTTAAAATGGCACATCCATATAAACAGAGTTTTTATCAAATATTTTAAACTTCAAAAAATAGCTATTAAAATTGGGTTTCAACATATAGAAAATATTTAATCTGGAAGTAAAGTTAATTATTTATATTTAAATTTATTTAAACTAGATAATTTAAATTTAAATTAGTTAAAAAACCGAAGTTTTTTTGAAATTTACTGCATAGTTAGGTGGGGTAATGTGGGCCTATATGTTGTGGCAATATGTGTGCCTATATGTTGTGGCCTATGTGTTGTGGCATTAAGAGTCTAATAATTATATAGCAATAAATACTTTAAAAATAAAAATTATTATAAATAAGAAGCTGGCTATGTTTCTTGAATCGTTCTTCTGGAGTCATGTTGCTATGGATTTATTTAAATTATCATAAAATATGTAATGATGTTATATTTTCCTTTGAAATTAGTAGATAATTCAGTGTAGCTGTTTTAAAGCATAATGTATCATAGAAAATCTAATATATAACATCATCATGTTTTTACAAGTAATTCAACTTTCAAACTTGAATATTATGTTTAATATGGAAAATTATAATGTTATTTAGAATATACTACTTAGATAAGTTATAAAAAAACTGTACAAATTGAACCTCAAAATGCACTACATTCTTTGTAGAGGAAAAAGGAATAAAAAAATTTTTTTTTTATTACTAATTTGATGTTTGAATGTGTAGTTTATTTTGCATTTAAAGCAATATGAGTCTGAAATTTTTGAACTATATATGACTTTAGCCACTATGACTGCACTTTACTGAGATTGAATATTTGATCCAAAAAAGATAAAAATGAGACTTTACCCATATAAATAAGGGTATTATGGGTCTATTGAACACAATTCAAATTAACTATATTTAGACAACTTTACTTATTATATATAAACTTTTTCATCATTTGTAGTCAATGTAATTGACTACAAATGATGTCTAATTAAAATTTTAAAATAGTTTACTTTAATAAAAAGATTGTTTTGCTATTTTTTGCTCTATAGATTACCCCCCCCCCCCTTATCTTATAAAAATAATGATAACCAAATTATTAAAAGTTAAGTATTAAAAATAACTAATAAAATTAAATCATTAATATTATACCCAATACAAAAAATATATTATTGTTGTTATTCTTTTTAATATTATAATTCACATTTTAATGAAAAGTATAGTGTTATGTAATTTTTAATTATTACATTTTCCCTCATGCTAACTGTGTGTAGTGCTCTAACAGTCTCTATTTAATTTTGTTTATATAACTATAGTGTTTATAAAAACAAGCAACTTTGTTATTATTGTTATAAATATTATAGCTAAATTTATTATTTTAATTTTTAATCAGGAAGCACATTATTGTTGTTTAAATGTTCTCAGCAAGCAAACCAGCATTACTTCTATGTTGATGGGTAATGTGATGTGGTTGCTGGGTAATATTGTCCTTACTATCGTTCAGTGAGTAATCAAATAGTGAGTAATTAGTCTCGTTCAGCATAAGTAAAACAGCATAAAAATCATCTGAAAATTTTGAAAGGCAGTAAAATAATACTTTAACCAAAGCATTTATTCGTATTTTTTAGCCTTTAATATTTATGAAAAAATTACATATTTAAATTCTTTGATGCTAATTTTACCAATGACTTAAGACATATATTTTCAATTCTATTTCAAATAAAAGATTTTTGTAATCAAATAAAAATTAAATAAAAATATCTCATTGCATAATAATAATAATTCTGAAAATGTCAAATTAGTGTTATAACTATTACTATTTTCACAACTATTTTCACATTTTCACAACTATTGATACTTTCTTAATTATTATTACATCGTCAAACTCAACTGAGCTATAATTCATTACATTTTATATGTAATTCTTTTATATTGTACTTTTTTTTTTTTTTTTTATTTGATTTGTTACATATATGCGTGCATTTGTTACATATATGCGTGCATTTGTTACATATATGCGTGCATACCATAAATTACTTTGTCAACTTAAATACTTTGTACTACTTTTAAAATTACCTTCAATATGAGGTCGAAAAGGATTAGGTGGAAAAGGAGGATCATTAGTGTTTGTATCAGAAACATCTATCAGTTCATTTTTCACGGCATCATACATTATCTTTGGTGGATCTGAAATCAAAAAAAAAAGTTATAATTATAATAATTTTTTTAATTACCTTAAAATTTTAAAACGTTGATGATAAATTACAATATTTTTTACATATTTGGTATGTCTAATAAAAGTCAAAACAAATATAAAATATTTTGATTTAAATTTTTGCCATTCTGTTGTAGAGGAACTTTAAATATTAAAAAAAACTGGCTCAATTTCGTTTTTTAGATGGATGACACATAGGATTATCAAAATAAATAATTTTAGATGTATATCTAATTTCTTTACTTTTTATCTGGAAAAATCAATAATATATAAACATAGTTATATAAAAGCATATATTTAAATATATTTTAATATATCAAAGAAATGTAACAAACTTAAGGAGATAATATATTTGCAGTTATATTTTATCTTTCAATACGATCTTATGAATGTATAGCAAAATAACAATATTATGAATGTATAGCAATATATATTTTGTTTTAGAGGTACTTTAATTATTAAAAGAATATGGCTCAACTTTGCTTATTTTGCTTTAAACTATGATTTATAAAAGAATAACTGAAATATTATTTGTTTTAATATGCTTTGTCACTAAATAATGAAAGTAAGTTATAAACTTTACCAGTAAAACTGAAAAACAAAAAAAAAAAGAAATTCTAATCTATCCACCTGATGTTACTTATCTATCCACCTGATGCAAATCTTGAGTTTCAGTTCAGAGTTTTCTTAAACTGCTTTTCAAAAATTATTTTCAACTTGACTATTTCTTGAATATTTTAACTAGACTTATGTTTTTCTTAAAGCATTTAGCATTTAAATTAATACTTTTATCTTAAAATACCATTTGCAGTGAAAGTCTGTTGTCATTGAAAAAAATCATTTTATAACATAAAATTTTCAAAGACCATCTTCCTATAACTTTTTAAAAAAATATGAAGATTTGTGGGGAAAAAAAGGTAAATACTAAAAAGTAATTATTTATCTAAAACTTTTTGATTTTCTATGATATTCTCATTTAGAAAATGATTAACAAACAATAACGGATGAGCCTCATGGAAAAATAATGTGTCTCTTTTTTCAGAAACACATATTATGGTTCAACTGCATACTCAATACAGTTATGTATTTATTCACACAAATTTTGCAAAAAAAATTGCATTAGATTGCTTAATTTTTAAAAGCATTTTATAATTAAGATAACTTATAAAGCGCGAATCACAAAATTTATAATAGCACAACAACAACAATAAGAATTTTTTTCTTGTTATACTGTAATTTTAAAGCAGACGATTCAGTAATTGTTATATTATCTAAATAAGGTATGCACGTTTTGGATTGGGGACAAACTTTGGCCCGAGATCAAGTAGTTTTTAATGATGTATCGGTATATCAGAATTAGCTAAATTAAGTCTTACTTCTTAAACTTTGTATGTAATTATATATATATATATATATATATATATATATATATATATATATATATATATATATATATATATATATATATATATATATATATATATATATATATATTTATTTATATATATATATAATACTTGCTATGTATATAGCAACAATTATATAATATTTTCTTATTGTAATAGAATGCAGGCATTTTAAAAGTTATTAAAAATAGTTATTAAAATGACTGTGTTTTTTATTTTAGTTACAATGGTAATCATACTTTTGAGAGAAAAAACTATACTTTTGCAAAAGCCATAAATAAATTTTTTTTTGGCAAACCCAAACGTTTGCATATGCAAAAATATGAAAAAAATGACATTCTATTTTGTCTTTTTTTTTTTAACAAAAGTTTGGACTTTCGTTGATTCGTTGCGCCATGTCGAGCAAATGTTTGTTATGTTAATATTACAAGAATATATACATAGCAAGTATTATTACAGCAGTATTAATACATACATTAATACTGCTTCTTTGATATGGGATACCCATTTAACTCATGAGCAAGTTACAACTTTCAATTTCTGTTTTCAAAATGGCTATGACATCCCAGATCCTTTCTATAAACTATATAATTTAATTCAAACTGAAACAGATTTCATGTACAAATGCTATTTAAAAAAAAAGATGACTCTGTTCCAATGCCAAACGAATCCATAGTTCCTATTCCAATTTTAAATGAAACCAATGTTGAGCCAATTCCTCTTCCAAATGAAACAAATGAACAGTTTAGTTTTTTTTTTCTCTTCACAACAAACGAACAGTTTAGTTTTTTTTTCTCTTTTTCTGCCACAGCAGCTGAAGAGAAAAAAATGAAAAAGGAAAAAAAATAAATAAAGCACAACAAAAGCAAGAAAAAAAGATTCAATAGTTATCTAAAAAAGCTAACTCAGTTAAAATGGGAAAAAAATAGTTCAATTTCTAAGATATTGAAAGTCAATATCTCTTCATATAATCAAAAAATCTGTACTGAAATACCAGAGAATACAACTCGATTCATCGATAAAAAAATGAGAAAAAGATTCTAATTTAATGTTAAAGTTTTAAAAATTACACTAAAAACGCTAAACTTTTTTAAAAAGATTTCAACGCTGTATTAATTTAGAAATTAATAAATTTTAGTTGAAAAAGCAGCAACAGATGCACTTAATTATTGCAAAAACTACCAAAAAAAAAAGAAAAACATTGTTAAAGAAGACAGAAAAGAACTAGCAAAACTTGTTATAATTTATCTATCAAAATCAGGAGTTGTAAGAATTAAAATAATTGGTGCAGTTTAACCATGTACGATTTAATAATCATTTGAGTTTTCGCTTCTTTATCTTGAAAAAGTAAAAACTCAAGTTAAACAAATTGTTGAGTTTGTTTACTGCTTTTATTGGTAGTTCAGGCTAGGCCAGGAAAATATTTACTTTGAACATAATTAAAAACCAATTTTGTCAGCATCTTTGTAAACAGCCGTGGTTAAATCGTCAAAAAATATTTGCATGGCCATATAAAGACTTAAAATTGCATGCCTTCCTGGCCATGCCTGGCATTTGCTAAGCCACAGACCTATTAAAGCACCTTAATATTACAACATTTTTTGAAAATGTCTGCTGGTACCCCCTTAATGAGTTATATGTAATAAATTAATAATAAATTGAAAAAAAATTTTAAACAAAAAAATTTTTTAGAGGTTGCTCAAGACCCTTAAACTTCAGAGGGGTCCTTAATATTTTGAAAAAAAAAACAGATTATGTTGGGTCTTAAAAGAAGCAAAATTTTATAAAACATCCAAAAATAATAACATTTTATATAGTCTTTATATAAAATAGTTATTGTTTTTGAATGTTTTGTAAAATTTTGCTTCTTTTGAGACCTAACATAATATGCTTTTGAAGAACTAGTAAATTTAAACTAGAAATCTTTACAATAAAGATTACAAGTTTAAATTTTTTGGCTTAAAAACTATAGTGTATAAAAAAGTTCTTTAAAAGTATATCATTAACATGATATACTTTTAAAGAACTTTTTTTTTAACTATTAGAGACCCGTCAAGGACTACTATATGAAAGGACGCGCTAACTCGATTTTCTGACTCTGATATGCAACTTAATTATTTTTTAAAAAAAGACAAAATAAATTCGTTTTCTGAATTCTATACTGATAAGAAATTACACAAAAAGTATGAAAATATTGTAATATTTCAGCAAAAAGATAAATTCATATGTATTTTTATGTCGAAGGATTTTAAAGAGAGCTTCTTGACAGTAATTGTTTACAATAAGTGTACATTATGTTTACCACTAACTTTTTCTGCTTTTAAACAATGATACCAAATGGTATCAGCGTTCCATTAAGCAATATATTGAATCCCAACAATGGCTTAGTCTTCTACTCACAATCTTTTGAAGCAGTTAATTTAGTTTAAAATTATAATCTGCATGTTAATGATATTACTGAAAGTGTGACAATTATTCTTTCAGAACATGAATTTAAAATCAATGATGATATCAAGTAAAAGAAACTGAATTTGATTACAAGACAATTTAAACTATTGTGTAACAAGTTTATCTATAGCTGATTTTTGCTTTGCTTTGAGTCTTTTTATAACAACAGCTATGATCATCTTCATGATTTTTTAGTGATTCCAAGTAAATGAAAATTGCAGCGATCTTGTATTACAAAAAAAGTAAAGAATGATCATCAGAAAAATGCTTTTTTCATAGTTGATGAGGTAAAAGTTAGATCAACAGTTGGTTATTCATGTGAAGTTTCATATGGGATGGAAAAAAATGATCCAGAGTCTAAAGCATCTTCTATGCTATGTGTAATGATGAAGTGCTTACATGGTGGACCTAGTTTAATGGTTTCTATTACACCTGTTCACAAACTAACATCAATATATTAATTCGGTGTTGTGAAAGAAGCTGCTGTTTTAGCTGAAAAAAATGGTGCCATTATTTTAGGATATGTAACAGATAATCATAAAATCAATCAGCAATACTGCAAAAATTTTAAAAGAATTACTGACTTCCAGGCCATTCATCCATTAGATAATCAGTTTGTTTATTTTCTTTTGTTTGATACAGTTCATCTTCTTAAATGTTTGCGTGGATTTCTGAAAAGTGTCAAAAGTTATCTCTTGACAACAAAACTATTGGATATTTTGTTGATTTCAAAAACCAATATCATTATGAAAAAGATATAGTTTTGAAATCAGTTACTATATTCCATGCTGCTGTTTATCTATCTAGATTTCAACTACAGAATGTGCAACCTGTTTAAAAAATATTTAATGAGAAAGTAGTAGCTGCTTTGAAACTAAAAGGAGCTCATGAAACATCCTTATTTATTCAACAGGTTTTAGATTGGTGGAATATTGTTAATGTTTCTGCAAAAGGGCAAAATATTAGACTAAGAAACCACAACCGATCAGTGCAAGATAAAAATTTGAATAATTTCCAAATATTTTTAGAACTATTTAAATCTATGAAATCAGGGCATGGAAACCAATCATGAAGGAGAATTTTCTGGTTTTTTTCAATAAACAGGGGCAAATGCTTTTTGGCAGCTAGGGATGTTTTTTTTTTCTTTTAAAAAGCGTTTAACTCAATTTGTTGCAGAGTTTCTAGAATTAGTGGAAGTAGAACAACCCAATAAAAAAGATCACAGATGTGAAGGTCTAATCAGTTTTGAAGATGGGATTTTAATTAAAACTTGCATTTATGATGTAAGTCTTTCAGAAACTGAAGAGAGCTCTGCTGCCCATGTGGCAGGATGGCTGGAGAAAAAATGTGAGGGTAAACTAGTTTATGCTGAGGATGAACCTATACTAACAAATGAAGCCAAAGATTTTATTGAAGAGGTTTCACGAGGATACTTGACAGTTCCTCATGAGTGTGCATATCAGCTAATTAGAAATGGGTTATGCTTTGTGGAAAAAACTAAACACAGAGCATGTTGTAAAAAAAGACTTATAAACATTCTGTCTATAATGGATACATATTATGATTTTGTTTTATCATCAAAAAATCTTTTTAGGTGTTTGGCTAATGTTCTTTTGCATGGAATTTTGCATGTCTTTATCAGACATCAATTAAAAAAGGCACGCCTTGCCAAACAATATTTATAGATAGAATATTTATATATATGTATGTATATATATATATATATATATATATATATATATATATATATATATATATATATATATATATATATATATATATATATATATATGTATATAAATGTATATATATATAATAAATTTAAAAAAAAATTACATTATTATAAAATATTCTAGAGAATACTTGTTTATTTTTTGGAGATGAACTTTCAAAAGTTTTATTAAATTGACTTTTTATTCTTTTTTAGTTTTAGTTGTTATTACTTTTAACTTTACTTTGTTATTAAGTTTTTAATAATACTAACTTATATTCACTGTAAAATTATTTTATTAGTTAAATTTCAAATTTCATCCAATAATTTCTTATTTTTCGAAAATTATGACCATATAAAGTTTTAACCCCCCTCAATTTGAGGGGGATGTAAACTTTGTCATAAAAACTAAAAACTAAGAGGTTATTGCATGAAATTTGAAATTTGTTGATGAATATAAACTTAGATAAAAATACTAAAGAAATTATTTTATCAACTTGTTGCTCCCACGTTAAGGGCTGGGTGGGCCCAAAAATTGGGTTTTTTTTGTCCCCAAGCTCTAATCACCACAACTTTTTGCAAAACATTCTCATTTGACATAAGTATAAACACACAAAAGTTTGGAGTTTGCAAAATGCGTTTAAGTGTCAAAACTCAAACATCTAAAAATCCAGTATACACCACTGTATATATATATATATATATATATATATATATATATATATATATATATATATATATATATATATATATATATATATATATATATATATATATATATATATATATATATATATATATATATATATATATATATATATATGTATGTATGTATGTATGTATGTATGTATGTATGTATATATATATATATATATATATATATATATATACATATATATATATATACATATATATATACATATATATATACATATATATAATTTTAATCAAACCAATGACACCTATCAATACATACGATGACATATTTATTGTTCTGATTCACTCCCAAAAAGGCTGCAAGTAGCCACTATTTGGGTATTACAAGAAAACAAAGAATAGAGTTATAGAGCAAGAAAAAGGTTGACAAAAGACTCGAAAAGTTGTAGATTATATGAGTTAGGAAAGCATAAATATGGGAGAGAGTTCTAAAATGTTGAAATGCGAAGGGAATAACTAGATTCTAAAACAGCTCCACATATTCTAAATAAAAACTAGATAAAAGTTGTTAGAGCATGTGGGCACAGATACATAAAAAGGATGAGACTAATATAATTAATTACAGATCAAATTGTATTATGAAAAAAGAACGTTATAAAGAGAATATATAATTAAAAAAAAGTTCAAATTATATTATGAAGTATGAATGAAAGTATTCCAGTAGAAAAAGATCTGTGGTGACTTATTGGCAAAGATCTGTGGTGACTTATTTGCACCATGACACTCATACTACTGCTGTCTACTAAATCACTAGTTACTTTTAGTAAATGATCTATTTTTACTAATAGCTGTTCAACTTGTATTTAGAGTTTTTATTTTCACTAAACAAGTTGTTTTATATTTGTTATAATGCTGTCAATAATGGACTTTTCTAGCCAAGGTTTTATCTTGCAGACCAAATGTTGCTAAACTATCAGATTTCAGCAAGCATAGAAAATTAAGATTTTTTTGGGTTCTTAATCAGCTGTTCTGCATTGTTGGACAGAACAGAAAATGTCTGAGCAAACAAATCTTTTATTATCGTGATCTTAATAACAGATGTTGATATTGATTTACATTTGGTTGCCTATTTGCTTTTTCATTGAAAGCTTAATAATCAGATAAGAGATAGGGTTTCATAGTCACAACCAAGAAGACACAAAACTAAAACTCACAACTAGAGTTGAAAAAATCTTTAAAAAAGAAGTTATAGCATTAAGTTAAAAAAAAATGGTACCATTTTTCATATTAGATGTATCGAACCTTGTGCTAAATTCTTCTCCGAAGAATCCATTTACTGTTAATGATAATTAAAAATATTATATAATAAGAAGAAAAAAACATTATGAAAAAAAGAAATGCTTAAAGAAAAAACATTAAAAATAAATCAAATAAAAATAAAATCAATAAAAACTATACAAAACTCAAGTTTTCAACACGTAAGAAAAATTGGAACTTGGATCAGTTAATAACAAAACCAAATATTTTATTAATCAACTAAAAGATTATTCAGATTGGTTTATTATTATCTTACTCTACAAACTTCAACTTTTCTCTTCCAGTAACTTCCAACTCTTAGGGTGGTTGCTTGCAAGGCTGGAAGCAACCACTATTGAAATTGTTGGAACGCCTTGTTGGAAGCAAAGTTGTTAAAATAAAAATTAAAGTTTTCTTAATTGTTTTTTCAATTTTCTAACAACCTGCAAATCTGTGATTAGGTGAAGTAAAAATTGCCACTTAATAGCTAAAATATCCTTAACTTAGCTTTGTGAATGAAATGTTTAAACAAACTTTAAAACCATGTATAAACATGTTATTGAGTTTGATATATTGGTTTAACTGGGTTAAAAATTCTTTGAACACTGTATTTTAAGTTTTTTTTATAGTTTTCATATTTTGCAAAACACAATATTTAACAACAAAATCGCATAAACTATGTTAAATAAAATTAAATATTGAATTTGCAAAATGAAATGTTTATCAATCAAATAACAAAATCAAGTTTTATTATTTGATTTACAGTTAAATATGGTTTAAAGTGATGATTAAGGGTAAAGTTAAAACATACAGCGTTAAATTAATTTTTTTCATTGTTATAAGTATTTTTGACATTTAATTTTGAAATTATTCAAACTTTTGATTTGTGTGATTGTTTGACAATGAAAATGAAACGTTGATAATAAAAAATTACAGTGTACTGTTTAAATAAAGTATGCAAAAATGCTGTTTATTTGTTTTCTTGTCTTCTATTTTCTAACCCCTATAACATTTTAATATATAACAAGTTACGTTATGTATTGTAATGTAAACGAGATTCATTACTTTATGTGCAAAATGTCCGTTATTTTTACGTAACCGAGATGTAACATTTTACGCAACAATACGTAACACTGTAACATAACATTAAGTGCAAAATGTCCTTTATTTTTAAATAACCGAGACCTAACATTGTAACAGATACTGACAGATAGACAGATATCGCACAGAAGGTGCAAACAATATGCACAATTAGCATTGGCTTACTGTAGTATCTAATGAATAAATTATTTCATAAGAAACGTTGACATTTTATATACATTTTTGCTTGTGGGTTTATAAAAACGCCTAAAGTATTACGCTTGTATTATTGACAAAAAAAAAACGTTATGTAACGTAACAAAATCGAGTTACGTTTCAGTCAACACTTTTTAAAAGTTGAACTTTCATAAGTTAAAATAAAATAATTAAAACTTGCAAATTGAAACTTTTTTTTTACAGTTAAAATAAACGATGATAATTAGCAATTTAAAAATAAAAATTTTTTAGTTACAAATGTCTTGACAAACGCATTGTTAAATACTGTAACTGATGAGTTACGGTATTTAAAAGAATTGTTTTATTTACAATATTATTTACATATTTGATTTTTTATGCATTTGATTATTCAAAATGCAATAACATGTTTGTCAAAACTATTGTAATTAAAAAAAAAACTGAAAAAAAATTAACTGATTTGTGGGTTTGTTTTTAAAAAAGACTTCCTAAAGGTAAATACAACTTTTAAAGCTTTCAAAGTTGTATTTACTTAAAAAAAAAAAGTACATTTAAAGTTAAAATAACTAACTGTACTTAGGCAATCTAAGGTACTTATTACCTTTAAAAGTATAACAAACCAAGACATAGTGTAACGTAAAACATTTAAGAATTAAAACATTAAGTCATTTTTTTTTAAAAAGGGTAACTAATTGAGATGTAATGTAACATTAAAAAAATCTATGTTTGAGGTGTATTTTAATTACATCTAGACTGAGTTTAGTTATGTTGCATCTAAATTGGTTACACTTTATAAAGTCATTAAAAAAAAAAAATTGAGACAACATAGCGTAATAAACATTTTTTTTTTTTTTGTGACAAAGTAACTAACTGAGATGAAGCTATTTTACAATAAAATTAAAATAAAAGATAAAAGATAGTATATAGCATTAAAGCAATAGTAAACAAACTATTACTGCATTATCAAGTTTATTTGATTAAAAAATAGAGAATGTAACCTTGTTACCAATTTTAACCGATTGAGACGTTACATAACTTTAAAATGTTATAGGGGTAACAACCTAACTTATAATACAAACTTTTATTTAAAAATAAAAATATGTTCAAAACTATATTGCAGTATTTCATTACATATTATGAGTAAAAAAAAATGAACTAAAAATATTATGAGTAAAAAAAAATGAACTAAATTAATACATATTATGATCAGAGGCAGATTAAAACTGCATGGCCCGGGGCTAAAGCTCTCCCCACCCCAAGCCCCTATTAATCTAGCACTGAATATGATTTATTATTATATTATTGTTTATTTAAATAACATTTTTACAACAAAGTAAACTATACCATTTGCAGGACCTGGCTTTTTTCCACCAAAAACATTTGACTTGCCATCTTTAACTTTATGATCTTTGAAAATATTAGTACAAATTATATGTCATCTTATCATTATACTGTTTATCACCAACAAAATATATCTTATAGTTTACAAAATGAAAATTGTTCAGAAAAATAACTATTTAAAAAAAAAAAAAAATGTCACGCACTAATACAAATGACTTAAGAAGTCTTTTGTGTTGAAATTAAAGTCTACATTTCTACTAAAACTTTTGGTATGTAAAAATAACGACTTTAAAAAAAATTTTAAAAATTTAAATTCTAATGAAATATAAGTTTTATAAAGAATAAAGATTTACCGATAATTTAGCTTTTATGTGCATAAGCTTATGTGAGTTTAAAGAACTTTTGTGTTTTTTTTTTACAAAAAAAGTAGAGGTTTAATAAAGAAATATTTTTAGCCAGCAAAATTAATTATCAAAATAATTAAATAATGTTCTACTTAAAACTTTCCATATTTTATAATTTTTTTTCCTTAAATCTGTTTTTTAAAGTAATTTAAAAATTTTTGAATAAAAAAAAGGTACTATTTTAGTTGCTACCCCTATCATTTTATGAATGATTTCAATAATTTCATGCTGATTAAGAAAGATTAAATGTTTTATACGAATTTTAATCAGCATGAGATCCTCTATCAAAATCAATCATAAATGATAGAGGTAGCAGGCCTTGCAATAAAGCGTCGGGCGATGTGAATTTTACGTCGTCCAAGAGTAATTTTGCCTGTAGCTAGGGCTATTTGCGTTGAGCAAAAAAAATTTTGTTTGAGTATATTTAAAGATATTTTTGAGCGGAACTTTAATGAAGTAATTTACGATTATTTTAACATTTAATAAAGTATTTTAAAAACCGCACGCAGTTGATATAAAAGTTTGAATTACAAAAAAAATAAATATGCTCATTATTTACAAGTAGAAAAAATTCAGATTAAAAAAAAGTTTAAATCTTTTTAAGCTAGCATTTTGATAAAATTAATCAGCAATAGCACAATAGCAAAGTTGTTGATAAAATTGAACAAAAATACTTTCTTTTAGTTTTAGATTTTTAACTTAAATAATTATTTTACGGAGGTTTGTTAGGTTTTAAAATTATTCCATAGATTTAAAAATATATATTAACTGTTAGACGAATTTAAAGTATTTAAGAGTAATTTCGAGGAAACATTTTAAAAATTGGTAAGCGCAAATAAAAATAAATAAAAGGATTAATATTAAAACGTATTCTACTTGATTCAATAAAAAAGTACAGTTATTAAAATTTTTGTAAAAAGTGACTCGAAAAAAATTACTTAAATAATAACAATTGCTTTTTTGTTAAAAGTTACCAAAACTCAACGAAACGTGCTTAAGAACAGCTGCTGAAAAATAGAACATCAATAGTTTTTCGAATAATTTTTGATAATAATTTTTAAGAATAATTTTTTCGCTGAAATATTTCTTTTATACCTAAAAGATTTTTATTCTAACATTTTATTTTATTTTACCAAAAATAAAATTCCTTGTAAAGATTAAAAATCTATTCAAAACGTTCAAAAAAGTTTTTTAATAATATGAGTGATTGTGCATATCAACCGCTTTATGAAAATAAATAAAAATAAATAAATATTATCAAAAATTGCTAGTAAAAATATTAGCTATTGCACAGTTTTTAATTGTACAATACTAAAATTTCCAGTTTATTACTCTTTGACTTTTTAAAAAGAAAAAATAATTATTTAAAAAAACTTATGTTTTTTATTCATTTAGTACAAACAAAATGTGACAAACGTCGAGAAAATAAACAAATGTTTTTACATTTTAAAAAACGAAACATTCCAAAACATTTTTAAATAATAACATTTCTACATTAATGATTTAAAGTAGTTTTGCGGTAATTAAGTAAATTGGTGCAGTTAATGTCGATAAATATAAAAAGCAAATTTTTTTTTTTTTTTTTTATTATACTTCACCTCCTCAAGACCGAGAAGGCCACTACAGACGAGGAGGCTACTTATTAAATAAAAAGAATTTAATGACGTCAAAAATCACGTCATGCTTATGCATTGCGCAGTTTTTATTCATCACAAGGCCTGAGGTAGGAAACTGAAACAGCGCCTGATATAGCATGACATGTTAAATGTAAAACTATTTTATTGTTTTTTATCTGCAATTTTTTTATGTTCACTAAACTAGTTGCTATCAGAAAAAGGCACGTTGTTCTTAAATTTAAAACAAGGTTTAGAATTTAAACCTACTAAAACAGGTAAGTACATGAAACTAACCTATCATGTAACTAAAATTTTAGTAACAATTACTGCAAAAAAAGTAACAATGATTTAATAAATATATAATCTTAATATCAATAATCATAATAAAACAATAAAAGTAAAATAATTACTTCATTAAAAAATAACAATAAATAAACAAAAATTATTCAATAATACTCACAAATAAAAACATGTCACACACACAATCAATCAGATCTATTTTCACAATATATTTTCACAATATATTTTATATATTTTCATATATTCTCACTAGACCATCCAACTTGACTATTTGAATACTTTATATTCAAATATACTTGCATGTTTTTTGACTATTTGATATTTGAATATTTTTTCCAAATATTCGAATAATTTCAAAAATGTAAATCACAGTAAGCTTTGAAAAAAGTACGGTTAATTTCTCTCTTCTTACAAGAAAAAACAAATAAACCCTGAAATAAAAAACAAATCTAAGAATTTTTATATAGAATATAGCCTTGACGTGGGAAAATTGCATTTTTGTATGGTTTTAATTTTGTGAGACATTATTTTTGTTAGTTATTAGAAAACAGTCGGTTATTGAAATTGCTTAGCAAATATTCGTAAATTTTATTGTAAAAATTCATTTCATTTAAAATAATAAAAACAATATAATCAATAATTTTTAATAATACAATTTGTGCTTGCATACTTCTATAATAATAATTATAATAAGAATAAGAATAATACTTCAGGTAAATTCAAATTTGTTAGATTTTCTTAAAACATATTTACATCTTTGGTTTTTTTAGCCATGTCAAAAAAATCCGAGGTATAGAAGTTTTTTAAAAAAGATGAAAAAAAATTTGGTGAAGCCACATGTGGTACGTGCAACACGAACATTGGATGGAAAAGTTCAACCACTGCTATGATTAACCATTTAAAGCTACGACACAACATATTGTTCGGTATCAAGTGAAATTGATGGAGAAAATAATATTCCTAAGAAAAAACAAAAAACTGAAACAAGTACTATCTGGCAATTTGTAAAAAAATAATCTTTAAATGAAATATTGTCAAAAGTCGCAGCTGTTGATGGAATGGTGATCACGCCAATTAGTAAATCTCAAGCTATAGCTGGTTACGTGCAACAAAAAGTTTATAAAATGCCAAAAAGTCCGACAACTATTTCAAAATGCATCAACAGCTTTTATAAAGAAAAATTTATTGAACTGCGGGACAAATTTCAAAAATTAAAAACAGCAAATCGGAAATTTGCTATTACAGTGGATGAATGAACAGATTGCACTATTTTATGTTATGTAAACGTAACAGCTCATGTACTTGGAATAAACTCAAATACAATTGAAAGCCATGTTTTGGGTTTGACAGAAATAATTAAGCAGGGAAATGCTGAAACAATTAAACATTTAGTTGAAGCTAAGTTGGCAGACTTTGGGATTCTCTTTAAAAATGAAGTTATTGCATCAACTAACGACGCAGCAGCCGTAATAAAAAAATATGGCAATATATTAGGTGTATTAAATCAACTTTGCCATAATCACGCGCTCCATTTAGCTGTCATGGATTGTTTTTATATAAAAAATGTTATTTCCAATGAAGTGTTTGACGATACCGAAGAGTTTGGAAATTTTGTATAATGCTCTTATAACAATACGGCCTGCTTTAACAGCTTCTGAAAGAGTATTTTCAACAGCAGGCGCAATCAAAACAAAAAGACGAACCAGTTTAAATCATGAAACATTTAATTCAATTTTATTTTTAAAATATGTTTTTAGAAAAAAAATAATGTTTTAAATAACAAAATAGTTCAAAACTAAACGCTTTTCTTTATTAAAATATAACTATTTTTCTTTTTGTTAATATGTCTTTATACTTTTGATAAATTATTCGAGTATTCGATTACTCGAATATTTTAAGATTTTTCTATTTGATATTCGAATAGTTAAAAAGCTCGAATATTTGGATGGTCTAATTCTCGCATATATTTTCACATATATTTTCACAACAGTAGATATTTTTACAATATAATATAAATTTTACACAAACATTAAGTCACGAAAAGTAGAGACTAGTTTTTTTTAATTCCATTTTGTATTATGGTATATCATTTGTATTCAATACTTTTTTTATTGTGTTTTAAGGTTTGTTTATCTTTACGATAATATCTTTAAGATAAACAATAAATCAAGTTAGTTTGTATAAGTAGTGCTTGTATCAGATGTTGAATATTATAATAAAATAATCTATATATTAAAAATAAGGACTATTTTGTAATGAAATCTCAGCTCTATCTGGCTTAATTCGTTTCAAAACGATATAATAAATTATTTAATACGATGACGTAGTAAATTCTTTATTTAACCAAAACAACAAAACCCGCCTAGCGTAATAATTCTTTTATTTTACACGGTTTATGCGAAATATAAAACATTTTTTAAGAAAATATAAAGCATTTTTTAGGAAAATATAAAACAATTTTTAAGAAAATATAAAACATTTTTTAAGAAAATATAAAACATTTTTTAAGAAAATATAAAACATTTTTTAAGAAAATATAAAACATGTTTTAAGAATATATAAAATAAGTTTTAAAAAATTATAAAACATTTTAAAAATATATATGAAACATAAAATAAAATAAACTTTTAAATAAACTAAAATGCTTTATATTTTCTTTAAGAAAATATAAAACTTATATTTTCTTTAAGAAAATATAAAACATTGTAGTTGAATCAATAGTGCATTTATGATACATAAAGTTATT